CGTGCCTCTGTGCCACACGGCAGTGCCAAGGGGCGGGGCGCGCGGCTCCAGGCGGGCTCCAGCAGTCGTCGTCGTCGCCCTGTCTCTCTCGCACCCATGAGGGACGGCCCATGAGTGCGAGGGAGACAGAGCGACGAAAACGACTCTCGGAATCAGTCGGCAGGTCCCTCCAGGTCCCGTGGGCGCCGAGCGGAGCGCGGTGGCGCGGCAGGAGCAGGTGGCAAAGAAGGGAGCCGGGGCGGGATTAGGGGATCAGGCTCAATCGAGACATCAAGTCCGTCCGGCGGAAAGAGGATTTTCAAAAAAATGTCCCTGGACTGAACATTGTAGTAAATGTTTAAGTTGGAGATTTTCAGTGGAAAAGTTGGCAAATTTCATTCAGGTTTTTTTTTTTTTTTTTTTTTTTTGGGGGGGGGGGGGGGGGGTAAACAGCAGTGTTACAAATGTCGGCACGCCACTTTTCAATTACGCACCACCCGCTTAAGACGGTGATCATGGAGATTGAGAACGACGCCCGGGCCGTCCTAGGCCACGCCCCCACGCCACGACAACTCTTGAATCCGGAGAAGTGGTGCTGCAACAATAGCCCCAACTGGAGCCCCGCTGGCCCCGCTGGCGCCGGCCGCTGGAAGAGCTAGGCTGTCCCAGGGCGCCTCGAAGCAGGGCCCCGTGAAAAATGCATCAAGCACACACTACATTCTTATGGACTTTTTAAACGCATAAAGACGCATTTTTTATGCATAGTTATGCATGCGCAGAAACGTCCATATGTTATGTATAAAATTATGCATCACTGTGTACATTTTATGCATCTTCCTGCATAAAATGTACACAGTGATGCATAATATTATACATAACATACGGACGCATCTGTGCATGCATAACTATGCATAAAAAAGTCCATAAGAATTTAGTGTGCAGGGCGGTCTGGGGCCCAGACTCTGGGCGGCACAGCAGCCAGGCAGCGGCCCCGCCAGGCCAAGCCGGGCCGACCAGCCCAGCCAGTGCCAGCAGCCGATATGCCTGCATTATTGAAAGCCGTTGCTCTGGCCGCCCCGCCGTGGCGCCATCGGCAAGGAGACGTCTGGTGTGCATTAGACCGCCTTGTTCGCGCGAACAGAGATAAAACAATATAATAAGCAGGCAGAAGTTGGCGACGTCGCGGTCCCCGACGACCCAATAGCAGCGCGCTGCGTCGCACAGTGGGCCGGAAGACCGGTGCAGGCAGCCAAAATTCAAAACGCGTTTTGAGCTCCAGAGTCGCTAAATACGACTCGAACCGAACTTGTGACCCCACCAATGGATTCCTCGTTAGGAGAGCAATCCATTGGTGGGGTCACACGTTCTGCTCGAGTCCTGTTTGGCGAATCTGGGGCCCGAAACGCAACTAGAATTTTGGCCGCCTCCACCGTTCTTCTGGGCCACTGTGCGACGTCCGTGCCGACGAGCTTGGGCCTCGGGGCGGTTGGCTGGTCTCGCGCGATGACGAGGTTCGTTCCTCGTTCTCAGATTTTGGGGCAGCGTTAGTCCATTCGAAGGCTTTGGGGACTTTTTACACATAATTATTGACGTATGAGGAAGTGTAAGCCATGTAAAATTTGTGCATAAATTAGGTACAATTTTAAAATCGTCGCAAACACGACGATTAGCCAATTAAGTCGGGCTGGCCGGGGACATCCATCATTGATGGACTTCCGCCCGCAGTGCTGCACCGTCCCAGCGAGCAGCTGCAGTCCGCAGGGATGACGGGGACCGTCAGGGACCGACAGCGACTGGGGGCTCATGACGTGGCCGGGGTACCTGACCCCTCGAACTGTGTCACGGGGACCACCCCAACGGTGGCCAACCCAGCGGGGGCCTCCTTCACCCACTACACAGCCCCGCCCCCTTTCCACCCCTCCACAGTCTGCCCCCCCCCCCCCAACTCCATCCCTTTGGGCAGTTAACTAATTAATTAAGATGCCCAGTGACTTACGACATCCGCCCACCCCGCCCCGCCCCCTCGGTCCTTTGTTTTTACAGCGGCACGCCTCCCTTCTCGGGGCGGCCACAAAAATTTACAATATTTCGGCCACTTCCGGTGTGGAGGTCGGCAACACCGTGATGAGACAACGCAGCGGCTCGGTTAGACACACTGTACTGTACACGGTGCAACGCAACGGAAGGCGGGATTCAAGGTTGAACGCTAAATTGAGAGCGCGAGGTGAGCACAGTGGGCCAGAAGACCGGTGAAGGTGGCCAAAATTCTAGACGCGTTTTGAGCTCCCAGAGACGCAAAATGAGACTCGACCCCAACGTGTGACCCCACCAATGGATTCCTCGTTCGAAGGGGAATCCATTGGTGGGGTCACACGTTCCGTTCGAGTCCCATTTAGCGACTCTGGAGCTCAAAACGCGGCTAGAATTTTGGCCGCCTCCACCGGTCTTCTGGCCCACTGTGCAGCGGTATACAGTCGCCCCCGAAAGGCTCTGCGGGCTCGTTTTGTGCATTCCCCGGTCCGGCCTGGCCCGACGCCCCGCAGCCCGAGGCAACTTTTCAGCCTGCCAAACCACGCGGCCCGGCCGAACCGACTCCAACCTGTGCTAACTTAGTTTTCCACCTTTTGGGATGCGATGAACTGCGCTACGTGACGCCTGGGGGGCCGCTGGACACCAGCCAGGCCTCCGCCGGCGCGGCGGGGAGAGAGGGGGAGAGAAAGAGATGGGGGAGGGGGGGGGAGAGGGAGGCTGCGAGCAGAAAGCTGTTACGGTTAAAGAGAGTACGCGAGGGCGAGTAAATAAAACGAAATATAATTCTAGCCGCCACACCAAACCCCACGCAAAGAGAGAGAGAGAGAGAGAGAGAGAGAGAGAGAGAGAGAGAGAGAGAGAGAGAGAGAGAGAGAGACGGGCCAATTGGTGGCGAAGAACAAGGCTGTTTCCCACACCAATACAGGCGGCTACCGGCCCATTATCCCCTTTCCGAATCACGGTCTGATGTAATAGGCCATCAAGAGCCATCGAGCTGATTGACCAATGGCTGTCAATGGGAGCTCCCCCCCCCTCCCCCGCCCGCAGAGCAGCGCCCCCCACCTTTCCGCCGCCGTTTCCCGAACAACAACACTTGGACAGCCTCCCTTCGCAACGCGCGTGCGGAAAAAAACATCAAAAAGAAATTCGGGAAAAAAAATCCTTTTCCGCGCCACAAAATAAATAATTGCCATGGGCCGTCGTTAAAATTGGACGAAGAGAAACGAGAGCAGTTTTGGACGCGGCAGGCGTTCCTTTCATGCCACACGCACACAGCGACACACACACACACACACACACACACAAGTGCAGGGGCCTCACGCACTCCATAAACACAAAATAGGACGCGTATTATTACCTTCCGAGTTTCAAAATATAAACCCTCATTACTTTTTCCTCCACACGCGCGAGCGCTGTTTCACCTCTCGCTTTTCCACGGACACAGTCTGAATTTTGTTGAGCATGTGTGTGTCTCAGTGTGTGTGTGTGTGTGTGTGTCCGCCATAATGGCGAGCGGCAGAGGCTCAATACACCGGGGAATCACCAGCGAGAGCCGTACGGAAGCTGTATTTTTGTACAGCCCCCTCCTCCTTGCTCTTTTTGGCAACGCCCCCCCCCCGCGGGGCAAGGGCGTTGTGGTGGGCCGCTCACTCACAGTGCGGCGGCTTCGCTTTACGACCGATATTTCCGAGACGTGCGGCACGCATAATTATAAACAAGTGGGTTGGCAGCACTGGCGGCACGAGCGCGCGTTAAAGTTACAGCAGCGCTCACTCGCAGTGCTGCCATCACAACAACAATAACAACAAAAACAAAAAGACGAGCACTAAGTAACTCGACCCTTTCGACCCCGGCGTCCTTGTGTGTGTGTGTGTGTGTGTGTGTGTGTGTGAGAGAGAGAGAGAGAGAGAGAGAGAGCGCGCGCGCGCCTGCCGGCGCAGCGTCGCCCTCGTGCCCCGGGGGCAATTCAGTTAGCAAAATAGGAAGACTTGCAGTTACAGCCGGCGTGGTCGGCGTGTCCTTTTACAGGGGGCGCGCTCCCGGACGACAGGTCCGGTCAGCGGAGTCTCGCCGTTGGCATCGCCAGAGATGCAAGTTCAAGCTTCGAGAACCGTATAGTACATAGAGGGCCGTCAAGAATAATTTTTTTTTCTAAATTCCATTTTACACTTTAAATTTTAGTATAGTCCCTTTGTAAAAAAAAAATATGTTGTGAAAGTTTTAACGTGTAAATTTTTCAGTCATTTTGATAATTGGAATCTTGGCCGACCTGAAATGCCGTCTTTTGGGTCAAAACGCGAGTTTGGCCGTTTTTATGGTTGAATTGGTCAAAACCATGTAGGTTGAGATCAAAATTGCCTATAATTTCAAATAGAGTTCGGAGCTTTACCTTTAACTTGATGCGAAGCGCAGAGCAATACAACAAATTTTAATTACTAACATTGTTGGCGGAAACGCTAGCTGATGTACTGCCTTAAAATTTTTGTTGCGTCCTCCTCTTTTTTTTGCAGATTCACTGTCTGGAGAGGGGGAAACTGCAGTAGAGACCGGGCAGTGTGCTCGCGATGCAATGCAATCCCCATCAATTTGGCCTCGTCTGCCCATAATGCTCTCCGGGGCCGCCCTGGACAGGCAGACGGGTCGAAGACGGGGCAGGGGCAAGTTTCGCTGCACACAGAGGCGGCGTGCATACGCGGAGCAAAGGAGAAGAAGTATGCCAGGCACAGTAGGGTTCCTTCTTCGCAGTGGTAGTTGTTCGGAAGACACGGCCAAAGTGAAGGCACATGCGTATGTGTGTGTGCGTGTGTGTGCGCGCGCGCGCGCCCATGCATGGACGCTTTGGTATTCAAAAACGCCGCCCCAGAAGAAGGCTAGGAGCGCTCCCTCCGGAAGCAAGAGGTGGCCTCATGTTGCCAATTTCGACAAAAAATAAATACTAAAATGTAAAGACGACAGAAAAATTTGCCACTTTGTTTCTCTCTGTGACTCACCGTGAAGGGGCCGAGCTCGGTGACGGAGCACGACAAGATGGCCTCCCTGCCTACGGCCACCGTCACGTTCTCGATGGGCTGCATGAAGTCGGGCGGCTTGACGGTGCCCTCCGGCGGCGGATCGGCGGCCTCGGACGCGCCGACGACGCTGGGGGCCACCGTGGGCCCCGGGCTGCCGGACGACAGGCCCTGGCCGTGCGAACCCGTGGGCGCAGACACCACCACGGCCGCGCCTGCGGACACAGACAGGACAGGGAATTAGCACAACACGCTCAGAGTTACGCTGAAAACATTGGGCACCATCAACTAGGACAAGACTTCGTGGTGCTTTCGGACGGCCTTTCTTATCAGGCAGCTTAGCAATCTCAGTACACCACACCGTTCGAAGTTATCATCATCATCATCATCATCATCATCATCATCATCATCATCATCATCATCATCATCATCATCATCATCTTATCAACGCTGTAAGGCCTGTAACTCTTCAAGTAATTTCGAAAAGCTTTAGGGTAATGAACAGGGAAAAAATTTACATAATCTTCGGGTTGAAACCCGTGAACGAAAACTGGGCATCAACTCTGAGCCAAGTGAGCCAACAATCGATACAGCCTGGCATCATACTTCTTCGCGATGAACAAAAACAAGTGTTTATGCGCGAGTGCCTCCCCGGCACTCAGGTTCAAATCCAGCCGGGTGGATTCCTCCCGGAGATAATACCCGTGCCGTCTGCCTTGATTCATAATTCACTCGGCAATGTTGTTGAGCGCCGGATAAGAATCTTGCGAACCTCGCACAATCCCGGCGAGATTTGAGGGCCTTGCCGTGGCCTGGGCGCGCTCGGGACCTCGGACTGGGAGCCTCGGCGCCGCGGCGCAGCGGGCGGCTGCAGGCCGGCGAGCCCAGCCAGGCCGGGTTGTATTGTGGTCAGATCAAGATTCGCTCGCGGAGAAAGCCTCGTATTTATCAAACGGAGAAAAAAGCAGGCGCGATTCCTCTTCCTTTTGCCCCTTTCTTTCCTCAGCTCGACGCCCCGCCCCGCCTTGCCCCGCCCCGGGCGAGCGATTTTCCCACGGTACGTGACGCAAATAAAAGATAGAAACACCCGCAGTCTCGGAATCGCCGCCACTTCCTTCGAGATAATTTATCGACGCACCGGCCCGTGGCGGGGCGTGGCGTGGCGTGGCGGGGCGGGGCGTGGCGGGGCGGGGCGTGGCGGGGCGGGGCGGGGCGGCCGGCGAGCGCCAACCGAACCCCCCGGAAAAAGCAACTAGCCAGCTGCGAACCGGCAGTGGCCAGCGGGGCCTAACTGAATTCCTCAGTGACAGCGCTGCCCGCGTGCACGGAATTAGAGGAAACGCCACCTGCCTCTGTGTTTGTGTGCGTGTTGTGCGTCTGTGTGCGTGTTGTGCGTCTGTCTATGTGTGTGTGTGTGCATGTCTGTGTGCATGTCTGTGTGCCTGGCAGTCTGTGTGCGCGTATGTGTGCCTGTATGCGCCTGAGTGCGCCTGTGTACCTGCCTGTGTGAGTCTGTGTGTGAGTCTGTGTACCTGTCTGCCCATCTGCGTCTGTGTTGTCCCGTCCACGGAATCTAGAAAGTGAAAGCAGATCAAGGTCTGCGCCATAACCAGAGTATTGATTTCAGAGACCTTATGTCTCGTCAGTGGACAGACTTACAAGATCGAGTTTCATTGAGTGCTTGTGTCATTTTGCATATATATTTTTGCAGTATATTTTTATCCAATTTATAATTTTATATTTTGTTTTTAGAGGTGAAGTGAATTCAGCTTAACCTGCTCCAGTGTCGTCCTTGCCAGTTCGTCGCGACAATACGTTCTCCACTCTGCGTGCTTCTTCGGCGCCTAGCGGCCGTCGCTCGGCGACCCGCGGCGCACTATGGGCCGCACGCTCGGTGATAGATGGATGCACGGGGAAGCAGTGTTGAGTGAAAACGATACACAACCGTCGCGGCCCCGAGGGGGGCCCGCCCCGCCCCGCCCCACACCCCCGAGGGGCCCGCACGGTCCCACCTGCGCCCCCGCGCAAACAGACACCACGGGGGATCAATGTTGGCTTCGGATGCGGCACCTGCGCACGTGCTGCAGTTCTGCCGGGCGAAAGCGTCGTTCTGTCTCTGTCGCACTCACGCGGCGCCCCCTTGGGGTGCGAGAGAGACAGAGCGACGAACCGCTACTCCGGGTCAGGTGGCCCCGGCCGGGAGTCGAACCCACTGCCGCTGTTCCCACGGCCAATGGCGTACGTTATAGTCCCGGTGACAATCTGCACTCCTAGCTGACTCACGTTGAGAATCATTTCATTTATTTTGTGTATTTCACCGAGCGACCGATCCTAAAATTGAATTATTTTGGTGTACTGACCTCAAACGACTGACGTTTCACGATTTTGCGAATGAAGTCAGGCGTAACTCAGTGAAACGACTGTCACTTGAGTTGCATCGGTCCCAGAAAAGTGCTCCGTTGAGTTGGAAATTTGCTTCAAAAGTGGACCTGTTTCCTACGAATGTATGATAACCAGTATGAGAACCGTTCGGGGTGCAGCGGCAGACTCTAGACAGGCAGGTGCATGCGCCCCATTGTCTACTGCCTATATCGCAGGGGGTTTCGGCGCCGGGTCGGGGCGGGGTGGAGCGGGGTGGGTCGGGGTGGTGACCGCTACAAATTACGCTGCGGTCCAGCCGCCGGGTCGTCTTGGTGAGATATTGCACGCGCCGCGCCACACTAACGCTCGCGTTATCAAAACGTGAGGCACTACTTGATAGTGTGTTCGTGTGTGTGTGTGTGTGTGTGAGTGTGTGTGAGTGCGGTGCGTAAATCACACACCACCACGACCTATTCGACGCGCGGTGCGTGATACGTTTTCGGGGCCGTCCGTTGTGTTGCGGGCAACACTACACGCACACGTTACACGTTGCGCGCCGTAGTGCAGTAGTACCAAAAATCAATAACCTACACTCTCAAAAAAAATAAAATCAGGCAACCATATGTCGCGGTGTTGAACCTACGATCTACCGCTCGGCGAGCGAAACCTGTACCCCGAGACCAAAGCGGAGCCCAGTCAGCGAGTCAACAATTCGCGGCCGTTCTTTTCCCGCTTATCTCCCGGCCCTGCTGCCTGCCGCCGCGGCCGGCGCCAGAGATAGCAACTTTGCGGAAGGGTTGTGTATAATTCGGGGCTGTGAAAAGGAAGGGCAAGTGATCCGTCAATGATAAGCCGCGAAGGTAGACGAGGGAAAGGGGTGGGGGTGGCAATGCGCGGAGCAATGCGCGGAGCAACGCGATGAAGCCTGTCAACGAGTCGATGCGCTCACCTTCTCCAGGGAGCCAAAGCGAGCTCCGCGCGCCGCCGAGCCAGGCTGCCTGGCTGGTGGAATAAGCCGTGAGAATAAGAAGAATAGCAGCATCACGGGGGAGAGAAAAAGGGAGAGTGACCTAGTCAGTTATTCAAAGCTTTCTCGGGGCTAATATGGACCGTGTTGCGCGCAGCGGCGCGAAGCTGGCGCTTTTAATCCGCGGTGCGGCCGACAAGAGAGGGAGCGCGGTTTCATTCGTTTTCCTGGCGGGTTTTGCCTTTTTGGATGGACTGGGTCAAGGCCGGAACTGGGACAGTCGGCCAGCGCGGTCCCAGTGGGCGCCTCTTGGCCGCGGTCCGGCCAGCCACTGCTAAATTTCAACACGACGGTGGACTATCCCTCGCGTCTTCCAACACGTATCAGTGCTATTTATTTATCAACTTTCATTTTTGCGTTGTGGTCCTGTAGACGTGCCATACGTCTCCAGAGCCTCAGGGAAGGCGCACTCACACCTGACGACGGCTAGCCGGGTCCCCCGTGGGCCTCTTTTCCACGCCTCGTTGATACAGTGACGAAGCAGGGGGGCCGGGAGGGGCGGCGTGGCGCAGGATGTCTCGCGGGATCGACAAAGAGTCTCGACTTGTCTGGCGCGGCACCGCGGCTATCGGCTTTTCGCGGTCTTTCCTCCCAAGACCAGACCATGTCGGCAAACGGACGGGCGTTGCCGCACCTCACCTGAGTATTTTTCGATTTAGATCGACTAGTTTTCAATTCGCACCAACGACTTCGTTAAATGCAAACCGGGTATTAATTCACATAGCGCACTCTTAAAAGCCTACGAAGCATTTGCTTATTAACTACGAAGAAAATGAAGGCGTTGTAGAATTGCTTCGTATTATGAAGAAATGCTTCGTATTACGAAGGATTTTGCTTTATAATACGAAGCATTTCTTCGTAGATTTTACAATGCCTTCATTTTCTTCGTATTACGAAGCGATTGTTCGTAGAGTTTTTACTGTGCAGATCTTCCCTGACGTGGAGACTGGCAGGGAAGTAGCGGTGTTCCTCTTTTGTTCGGTGGATGTCGCAACCGGAGTAACCCGACGGGAAGGGCGAGGTAACCTGGTTACCAGATGAAGGAGCCGAACAAGGCCGCTACGATCGATTCCCCGGCGCTAGGTCTTCAGAGTACCTGCACGCCTAATTTTTAAGTAGGAAAACGTAACAAAAATTTCAAGTATCGAAATGGCTGAAAAATTTATGCAGCAACAGTGCGGGCTTGAATCGTCAGAGGGCCCTTTCTGGTCGAGCTTATCTTCAAGACCTAGACAATGAATATAAAGCAGAGAGATCCCCGCACCTACGTCCCACGAATCATTTATTAAACCGCCCCTCTTGCCCACACCAAATCCTGACGTCCTCCAAAGGCGAGAGAAAGTAAAGGAATGCGAATTTGTCGACGACCGAGGACAACACTGTCTGCGTGCTGCGAGGCCTGTGGCAGCCTGTAGCAGCCTGTGGCCCATTGCCTCAGTTTTGTCCATTGCACACACGACAGCCTGCCTCGCACATTATGAGACACAGGGGAGAGGGCGAGGGGGAGGGGGAGCAGAGCCGTCTCGTTGACACTTGGAATAGGACGCGAAATGAGGTGAGTCGCAATATCAGCCTGTTTATGAGCTGCGCCCCGTTACCCTCTGGTACAGAACACTGTCTGCATGTGTGTGCGTGTGTGGGTGTGTCTATCTCTCCACATACATGCCTCTCTCCACCCACTTTCTCTTTGTTACTACACGTTATTGAATCTATCTGTTTACACCGCCATCGCACACACACATGCCCACACGCT